TAATCCCGGCCCTTTGGGAGGCGGGGATGGGTGGATCACTTGAGGTCAGGAGTTTGAGACCAGCCTGGCCAACATGGTGAAACCCCATCTCTACTAAAAATACAAAAATTACCTGGGTGTGGTGGTGTGCACCTGTAATCCCAGATACTTGGGAGGCTGTAGCAGGAGAACCACTTGAACCTGGGCATTGGAGGTTGCATTGAGTGGAGATTGCACCATTGCACTCCAGCCTGGGCAATAGAGCAAGACTCCATCAAAAAATAAATAAATGTAGTCTTTATATTTATTGCTTTTCTAATGTTAGTCAACCGTGTATTCTTTGTTAAGCTTTATTGTCCCTGAACGATACTTACATATAGATTATGACTGTCATATACTGTCCCTGGTGTATGTTCCTATTTATTCTAAATTCTTAATCTATATGCTATAAGAGTCATTGGTTATGGCTGGATATGCCAGCTCATGCCTGTAATTCCAGCATTTTGGGAGGCCGAGGCAGGCGGATCATCAGGTCAAGAGATCGAGACCATCCTGGCCAACATGGTGAAACCCTGTCTCTGCTAAAAATACAAAAATTAGCTGGGCATGAGGGCATGTTCCTGTAATCTCAGCTACTCAGGAGGCTGAGACAGGAGAGTTGCTTGAACCCAGGAGGTGGAGGCGCAGTGAGCCAAGATTGTACCATTGCACTCCAGCCTGGCAACAGTGCAAAACTCCATCTCAAAAAAAAAAATAAATAAATCATCGGCCAGATATGGTGGCTCATGCCTGTAATCCCAGCACTTTGGGAGGTCAGGGCAGGTGGATCACAACGCTATGCTAAAAGTAGTGGCTCATGCCTATAATCCGAACACTTTGGGAGGCCAAGGTGGTAGGGTTGCCTGCACCCAGGACTTTGAGACCAGCCTGAGCAACACAAGGAGATCTTTTTTAAAAAAAAGTTATGGCTGGGCACAGTGGCTCACACCTATAATCCCAGAACTTAGGGAGGCCAAGGCAGTTGGATCATGAGGTCAGGAGTTCAAGACCAGCCTGGCCAATATGGTGAAACCCCATCTCTACTAAAAATACAAAAATTAGCCAGGGATGGTAGTGCGCCCATGTAGTCCCATCTACGTGGGAGGGTGAGGCAGAAGAATCGAATGAACCTGGGAGATTCAGTTTGCAGTGAGCCAAGATCACACCACTGCACTCCAGCCTGGGTGACAGAATAAGACTGTCTCGAAAAAAAAAAATAGAAAAGAAACATACCAATTAACGATCCTTTAATATTGTGCATTTAGTGCCTTACATATAATTAGTAATAATTTGGATTCAGTTCTAGTATCTTACTTGTTCTGTGTTTGTCCCATTGTGTTCAGCTCTGTATTTTTCATATATTTTTTAATTTTATTCTTGATGTTTGAAATTTGTGTGTGTGTGTATATATATATATATATATATATATTTTTAGAGACGGGGTTTCACCATGTTGACCAGGCTCGTCTTGAACTCCTGAAGTCAGGTGATCCACCTGCCTTGGCCTCCCAAAGTGCTGGGATTACAGGCGTGAGCCACTGTGCCTGGCCCAATTTGTATATTTTTATTGCTAACATAAAACATTACAATTTTAAATTTAAATGTTCATTAATACCTTTTCTTTCCAACAAAGTGTACTAGGCTGTTTGAATAAAGTGATTCCCATGTACACTTACTGCACTTGCAGAGAGACCCAGAAGGAAGTGCATTGTCACAGAAGCCACTAGACAGATCTGGTGGCAAAAGGAATAGACCCCTTGACACAGGCCCAATGACACCTTGTGGTAGCTTACAGATGGCTACAAGTTTTTGAGATTACTATGTGAAGGTGGAATCTGTCTCATTTTTATGTGAGCCAGTCTTGTGACTTGCTTTGACCAGTAGAAACCAGCAGAACTGAGGTTTGCAAGTACATCCTCAAGAGGCTTCTGCTAAGTAGCTGCTGTTTTCAGCTAGTAGGTTTTGGGGCTGTATATTACACAGTAAAGGCCAACTGATACACATACCCCTTTGTACACAAGCCAAGCTACTGCGCCTTAACCTGTGATTCCGCAGGATACATGGGGAGAGCCTCCAGAAACAGGCCCACTAGTGTTAGCAGTAAAGAATTCTGGGCTGGGCGCACTGGCTCATGCCTGTAAACCCAGCACTTTGGGAGGCCAAGGAGTGAGGATCACAAGGCCAAGAGATTGAGACCATCCGGGCCAACATGGTGAGACCCTATCTCTACTAAAAATACAAAAATTAGCTGGGTGTGGTGGCATGCACCAAGTTGACACAGAAGAATCACTTGAACCTGGGAGGCGGAGGTTGCTGTGAGCTGAGGTTGCCACTTCACTCCAGCCTGGTGACAGAGTGAGACTATCTCAAGAAAAAAAGCATTCTGTCAGTGGTCACAGAGGGACTCGGCATCTCCCACTATGACCTTGTTACCCAGGCTGGAGTGCAATGGCGCGATCTCGGCTCACCGCAACCTCCGTCTCCTGGGTTCGGGCAATTCTCCTGCCTCAGCCTCCTGAGTAGCTGGGATTACAGGCACGCACCACCATGCCCAGCTAATTTTTTGTATTTTTAGTAGAGACGGGGTTTCACCATGTTGACCAGAATGGTCTCGATCTCTTGACCTCGTGATCCACCCGCCTCGGCCTCCCAAAGTGCTGGTATTACAGGTGTGAGCCACCGCGCCCGGCCTAGTTTTGTTTTGTTTGAGACGGAGTCTTGTTCTGTCACCAGGCTGGAGTGCAGTGGTGTGATAGCTCACTGCAGCCTCACCTCCCAGGTTCAAGTGATTCTCCTTCCTTACCCTCCCGAGTAGCTGGGACTACAGGCACGTGCCACCACGCCCAGCTAATTTTTATATTTTTAGTACAGACGAGGTTTACCATGTTGGTCAGGATGGTCTCGATCTCAACCTCATGATCTACCTGCCTAGACCTGAGCCGCCGTGCTGAGGTTAGCCGCCTACTTAGTTACATTTGTACCACTCTATTTCTGATAGGATTCTGCAGTTTTTAATGATTGTACTGTTTGTTTGTTTGTTTGTTTGTTTTTGAGACGGAGTTTCACTCATGTTACCCAGGCTGGAGTGCAATGGCACGATCTCGGCTCACCGCAACCTCCGCCTCCTGAGTTCAGGCAATTCTCCTGCCTCAGCCTCCTGAGTAGCTGGGATTATAGGCACGCACCACCATGCTCAGCTCATTTTTTGTATTTTTATTAGAGACGGGGTTTCACCATGTTGGCCAGGATAGTCTTGATCTTCTGACCTTGTGATCCACCCACGCTGGCCTCCCAAATTGCTGGGATTATAGGTGTGAGCCACTGCACCTGGCCAGTATGTTTTATTTTTATTTTAAAATAATTCTTTGCCTTGTGTTTAAACTGTCTATAGTATGTGTTTTAATATCTGTTGCTCACTGTTGGTTTTGTTTTCTCTCTCTCTGTCTCTTTCTTTCAAGACGGAGTTTCCTTCTGTCACCATGTTCGAGTGCAATAATCTTGGCTCACTGCAACCTCCGCCTCCTGGGTTCAAGTAGTTCTTCTGCCTCAGTCTCTCAAGTAGCTGGGATTATAGCCACATGCCACCACGCCCAGCTAATTTTTGTATTTTTATTAAGATGGGGTTTCACCATGTTGGCCAGGATGGTCTTGATCTCTTGACCTTGTGATCCACCCGCCTCGGCCTCCCACAGTGCTGGGATTACAGGCTTGAGCCACCGCGCCCAGCCTAATTTTTGTATTTTTATTAAGATGGGGTTTCACCATGTTGGCCAGGATGGTCTTAATCTCTTGACCTCGTGATCCACCCGCCTCAGCCTCCCAGAGTGATGGGATTACAGACCTGAGCCACCGCGCCCAGCCTCGTTTTGTTTTCTTGATTATTAGCAGATGTTTGTGCTTCCATATAAACTTTTAGTATCAATGTATGTAACTCCAGAAAAAACTTCTGGTATTTTTATTGGGATTATTGGGATTTATTGGGATTATTCTGGATAAACTTGGGGAGAATGGTATCACTGCTATTTTACAACGAGGTCCTGGCCCATGTGGTAAGATCAGAAAAATAACAAATAGAAATACCTATTTTTGGCCAGGTGCAGTGGCTCACGCCTGTAATCCCAGCACTTTGGGAGGCGGAGGTGGGCGGATCACTTGAGGTCGCGAGTTCGAGAACAGCCTGGACAATATGGTAAAACCCCATCTCTACTAAAAATACAAAAATTAGCTAGGTGTGGTGGTGTGCGCCTATATTCCTAGCTACTCAGGAGGCTGAGGCAGAAGAATTGCCTAAACCCAGGAGCAGAGGTTGCAGTGGGCTGAGATGTCACCACTGCACTCCAGCCTCGGTGACAGAGTGAGACTCCGTCTCGGAAAAAAAAAAAAAATTTTTTTTTTTAATTTTATTTTTTTCATACACCGGGTGTCTTGCTGTATTGCCCAGGCTGGTCTCAAACTCCTGGCCTCAAATGGTCCTCCCACCTTGGGCTCCCAGAGTGCTGGAATTACAGGCATGAGCCACTGTTCCCAGCCAGAAATACGTATTTGATGAAGAAAAAAAAAAAATCAAGATTTATAGAAAATATTATTATATTGAAAATGTGGCCAGGCACAGTGACTCATGCCTATAATCCCAGCACTTTCAGAGGCTGAGACAGGTGAATCACAAGGTCAGTAGTTCAAGACCAGCCTGGCCAACATGGTGAAACCCCATCTCTATAAATATAAGGTCCAGCCCTATAGGGTTGTGTGAGCCCCTCCCTGTTGGTGCTGAGACAAGAAACTGTAGAAATAAAAGACATAGAGATAGAGAAAAGAAGAGTTTGGGCTCGGGGGTCCACTGCCAACCAAAGTGCGCAGACCTGCAGTGGCCCCGAGTGCCTGGACACTCTTTTATTGAGTACAAAGCAGGGGGCAGGGAACAAAGGGTGAGGTAATGGTGGTCAGTGATAGGGTCAGGTAAATCACGTGTCTTGAAGATATGGGGTCCAAGACTTTCAAGTAGCCAAGGCGAGGAAAAAGCTAATGCGTCAGTACTCTTCGCATATTTGTTAGAAATATCAAGGACACTAAGATCATGCTACTATTATTAATTTTTATCTTTTAAGAAAAAGAGAAACCAGGTGCAGAAGCAGGGTGTGAGAGTAGACATGGAATGTGACCACTGAAGCACAGCATCACATAGAGACAGTTAAGCTCGCAGATGTAGCTCGCAGATGTCTGTGGGCTTCCCTGACAGCTGTCAGGCCTTGCCACAAGAGCTTGGAGAAGCGGAGTTTTCTCCTAACTCCTACAGGAAGGAGATGTCTCCGTCACTTTGGAGATCTCCTTCCCTAGCTGGCTAAACAGCAGGCACTTTCATAACAGACGCTGCCACACAGCCGAGGCGCCCTCCAGCAGCCCTTATGTGGGTGTGACAGAGGGCTTAGAGCATCTTTCCTTAGGATCACTTTGTTTACAGTGTCACCTCAGTTGCATGCTTCATAACCCGATAGTCATTGGTAAAATTAAAGATTATATTGAGTATATATCTTTATGATTAGAAGTAACTAAAAAACTATATATGGTTATATAAAGGAATAACTATGTGCCTACATTTCTAATTCTTTTCTAAATCAATATTTATATGGGAACAGACTGAGGTTTCAGACCCTTGCCACGGCCCTTGCAGGGTTTCCCCCCTACAATAAAAAGTACAAAAAATTAGATGGGGGCCAGGCACGGTAGCTCACACCTGTAATCCCAGCACTTTGGGAGACCGAGGCAGGTGGATCACGAGGTCAAGAGATCGAGATCATCCTGGTCAACATGGTGAAACCCCGTCTCTACTAAAACTACAAAAAATTAGCTGGGCATGGTGGCACGTGCCTGTAATCCCAGCTACTCAGGAGGCTGAGGCA